TTACAACTTAAAGGAATTCTTACCAATATTAGTTATTAACAACCCCACGATGGCATTTGCATTTTTATAACCTTGTTACTTAAAAGTGAAACAGTAGAGGGAAAGACTTGGCGATAGTGTTCCCTGTGTGCTTTAATCCCAGCCTGAGCTTTTTATGCTTGAGAGCACCTTATGATGCTGTAACTAACCTCAAACCTGGAGCAGCAGGAGGGCAACAAACCTCCGAATACAGCAATGTCATGCTTTACAGGCATACTCTCTGCAACAGCATGAATGAAGAAAAAAAAAGCGGTTGCCTAGGAAACACCCTAGTCTTGGTAATTATTACTGTAACTGTCTGCACACCCCACCTATAACAGAAATGAATAATAAATTATAATCACTGACTGGCAGCTTTCCGTTGTTGCTTCTGCTCAGCACTGCTACCTACTGGCATGCAAAATTAATTACATACAAACAGCAGGGCCGTGGCGGCGCCGCGCACGCACAGGCCCTCGCCTTTGTAGCGGCACCGCGCGCGGGGCCTTTCTCCTCGCCCTGGACGCAATTCAGGTAAATTGCTGCTTATTCGGTGAAGTGGGAAGTGCTTCGTGCTCGACAAGCAGGCTAAGGAATCATGGAAAAAAGAAAATCTTTCAAAAAACTTGGTTCAATTATGAGAGATTTCATGTCACGCTAACTGAACAGTAACAAAAGAATTTATTTTTACTGCCTAATAATGTGTATTTTGAGGACCCAATGAAATGCTGTTTAAGAGCAGCGGGTCTGATATTGCAGTATTTTTAGAAGATATCTGGTACTTTTGATCAATTAAACTACATAATCAACAGAGATGTTCCATTTATCTTAGGTTGTCTAATTTGCAATACAGTGTTAAAGTACTTCTATTGGAAGACTAGTTTGTTTAGAAATTAGAACACTCAGAGTGATTTACTGGATTTGATTTAAAAGACACAGCGGGAGTTGGCAAAATTCACATATCATGGGGTTAATGTGGGTTAGAATGGAGCTATTTGTAATACAAAAATATTGCATACCAAATACACACATCTGATTTCTTTTAATCCCAGCTCATTTTTTGCAACATAAATCACTTTGTTAAAATGAACAGCTAAAACAGCTGCTTTAGACACTCTTGAAACACACAAAAATCTGCTGCTTTAGATGCTCTAAGTGAGCAAGAAAAAGCGCTAAGTGCAACTAGTTTCACAGCTGAGATCATAAAATGAAGCCAGTTTACCTGTGAATTCCTGTGAAGGGCTCCATGGATCTGCTTCTGGTCTGCAGATGGAAGGGAGGCAGCAGCAGCCCTGAGGCTTTACCCTGATATCTTCCTTAGCTTCATCTCTGTCCCCCCAGTCCTGGTTCCTTCACTCCACAGAGGACACACCACCACATGCACCCCAGGAAGGTGCCCGCACATTGGCAGCCAGTTAGACAAGATCAGAGAGTCAAACCTGCCCCACAATTAGGATTGGGATGGAGCAGGTAATTCTTTCAGTTGGGTTGGGCATGGCTGGGCTCAGGCACAGCTAAGCCACATCCCACATGGGATGAAGGATGTGGGATACGGTAGGGATGGGAGATGAGCATGGGTGCCCTTGGCCATCCACATGATTTCTCACAGCAGCCTGGCCGGTGACGGCGAGGACGCATGGTTTGGGAACTCACTTCCTGTTAATAATTTGCTAGGAAAGCTGTGGAAATGGCTCCAAGGTCTGCGAGCAGAGTGAGCCGGGCCAGGACCCGACGCTTTGCAAATGCAGGAGCGTGAGCAGAGCGGGGCACCATGATGGGCACCGGGACAGGCTCGCAAAGCCAACAAGGTGTCCCATGGGCTGGATTCCCTCAGCAGAGCTGACAAATGAAGTGTGTGTAGCAGACGTATGAGACATCAGGGTCAAACACCGTCACCCATCACTTCACTGTGGTGGATACACCATGTGCTTATTCCACTGCGTGCTGGGACTCGCCTCTGCATGAAGCTTCCCTTGGTAATGTCTTGGCTCATGACAGGTGTCACTGCAGGGAAAGGAGGCAGCGGCAACGTGAGTCTTGTCATCCCGTTGCGATCACTTGATTTCGCTCAGGATTCAATTTTGGGTAGGCTTCTGCCGGGCAGCTACTGAAGCGCTAGTCAGCATTTTGTGCTCTTTAGTCTTCCATCCCTTATCTGTATTCTCAAATGGACTATTTTCTCAACAGGAGCCTATTCTTCCTCTCAGCAAACACATTTTGGAACCTCTTGCCACAGCTCGCAGGCCTTTACTTCATTCCTTGTGTGAGCTTCAACGACCATAGTCCCAGCAGGGAGACCTCAGCTTCCTCCCTGCAGCGCCGCCCCTGCTGCACGTGTCGACATGGGAGACGGCTCTGCTGCTGCTCAGCGGCAGCTCCAGGGGCAGAAGAGCCGCCGCAGAGCTCGGCCCGAGGCGG